CTTTTTCATCTTTTAACAATGCTTTGTCCCCTTGTCACTTGATGCTGGTGCCTTTTCCCCCCAATTTGGCTGATTGGAAAGTTAGAAAATCAGGTCCATTTGTTCTACACTGCTTGTAGGCCTATAGATTTTCCAATTTCTTGATGTTAAAGGTAAGTGCTTCTCTTAAAAACGTATGTGACTGGGCCCGCTGAGAATGCCAATCTACAAAAAGGTTCCACTGTCAGAAACCTGGCAACCCAGCCGGCAGGTGCAATTGAAACATAAATCAATAAAGGGTAATTTAATCCTCCTCCACCTCGACTCAGAACAACTCACTCGTGCCACCAACAAGGAGCAAGTGAAAAAGCAAGGATCCTGTTTTGGCTTGTCTTAGAGTTGTCTTGGCTGAAGGTAGCGCGCGCATTCCTGAGCACGCAGCTTAAATAAGGTACTTTCACCATCTAATGAGCCAACTGAGTCTTTAAAAACAGACTGCGACCTCCTCATTACAGCTGGGCACCTGCCACACGAGTTGGTAGAGGAGGCAGACGTCTACCCACAGCCACCATCTGACTGTTTGTGGTGGCTGGTGCGAATATCCCACCCTGATACAGGCTCATGTCTCACCATGTTAATTACAGGGCAGAAATGCTTGCTATACACACGCTTGGAATGTAGATCAGGTTTGCGTGCTGCTTAAGGCTTCCCTTAGTCAGGTGTGTTTGACCGATCCCTCTGCTCATCCCATCAGCCTGTCAATTACTTCCGTGTCCTCTGACACCATCGTTAGCTAAGCCAAAGCCAAGCTAGGCTATTAAGAACGAGGACCGGGTGGCCTCGGAGAAAGGGGAGGTGACATGCCCCAGCACGTGTGCGTGCTCTAGCTGGGCTCACCAGACCAAAGATCAAGTCCCTTAAGCTGCTTTTCTGAGCCAAGAAAAGCTTACAAGTCGTCACGTTGGTCCGAACAAATGGTCCCAGTTTTAGGCCCTGCAGCAGAGCCTGAGAATAGGCTGCACTCACTGAGAAGACAACAGAAAGACTGGTGAAGCAGTTCTGCTTTCTTCAAGGAGCATCAGCACAGCCAGAAAATGTAACCCAGGCTTATTCATGTTTGACTGCTCATCCAACCCCAAGGCTGGAACAACAGCACCGAGTTTATAGCCCACTGGTTAGACAGAACAGAAATGCATGAAAGCCTTCAATCTCAACAAAGATATGTACCATTTGAAAAACTTGACACCCGTCTAGTCCAATTCAGTGTCAGCCCAACAATGCACAACTTCTCCCCGTGCAAATTTCTTTCAAATAACAGAAGGAAGAAGAAACTTGTAACAATAACAAATCTGAGGGAGCGACTAAAACAAGGAAAAAGGAAAAAAATCAATTGAATTGAAATCGTTTTTCGTGACATAAAGGTTAGACAGAGTGTTAACAAGGAAAACTGTAAATTACTTTACCTTAGAACAAGATTGATCAAACATTTAGGGACACCCTTCAAACTTAGGAAAACTTCTCATCACTAAAAAGTTTCCAAATATGAAAGAAAATGAGCAAAAGCAGTAATCATAATTAGTAACTTCCATTTTTCCAACCTATCTCTACATCTGAGGATACAAACTTAGCAACAGGATATATTTTTGAAGTTAAGTAAGAGCAATAAGCTTTAGGATCTGATCAAAAATTCTAAAAAAGTCCCTCTGCCTTGCAGCAAGAGAAAGAAACACTCTCTCTCACACACAAACATAATTCAAGGTTTATCGCAAATGAGGCGATACCGCTGAGCCAAAACAAATTTGGACCTCACCGATGCTCCTTACATGCCACCCAAGGACAATTCTAATGGCCAAGAGTGAGCCTTTTTAATATTCCACAGGCACACGCTGAAAGGTGTTTGACACACTGTTTGCCGAGCTCCCCTCGTAAAGAATCAGGCGGAAAAGCTAATATTGCTTCCACTGCCGGGGCACTGGGGAAAATAATTTGCAGTGTGTATTATAAGCCAGGCTCCGATAAACAATATTAAAATGACTAAGTCGCAGCGGAGGAGGAACTCAGATGATAAGCGATAGTTCTTGTGGATTTATTATAGCAGGTAAAAGCCTGTTGTATTGATTATTCATAAACAGAGTCATCATCTATGGGGAAAAAAACAACAACTAGCGGAACACCTGCAGATTAAACTCTGCGCCGTGGAAAACCTTAGTTATTTTGTGTAGTGCACATGCCCTGCATGATACACAATGATCAACCACCAAGTAACCTCAGCTCGGGAATTTATTATCAACGTGTTTGAAAGAAAATAACTAATAGACAGAAGGCTATGAGATCAAAGCGTTGCAGGCAACATGCAGGCATACAAGCCTTTTACTGTTAAATCCCACTAAGGCAGTGTAATTTCATAGTGACACGTGGAAGTGAAATAAGGCTATAAGAGGCACATGATCAAAGCAGCAGAGCCACCATGTTATCTGGTCCCAGAGGTTGAGTATCTGGAATGTGAAGTTTTTTTTTTCCGCCTCTTTCGGTGCCTTTTATCTGCCTCTTGAGGTCTCTGCTGTCACAATGAGTCTACGCGTCACAGAGGTTATCAAGACCTGTGGTAGCCATGCAAGGCAAATCGTCTCGCCGGTTGTAGATACACGGGCTTGATAAGTGTTGAAAAAAAGCCACAGTCGAGCTTGGACCATAAAGGAGGTGCCTCCAATTTACAAGACTTGGAAGTCTGCTGAGATGGAACGAAAGCTGCTGCTGCTGTTGTAGAATCATGGTATAAGCCTGACACACTTGGGTGAACAACTATGCTGATACATATAACTTACAGTGGGACATGTGCTTAAAGGGAATTGGATTAGCTGCTGGCAAAAAAAAAAAAGGGGGGGGAGGGATTATAAATGATTCTGACTTTAAGTGTGCCTCTGAAAAGATGGATTACCATTTCAATTTTTACCCTCTTTCTTTACTAATGGAAATTTAAATTAGTCTTGTACTCGTCAACTACTAAGCAACAACACCGTTCTCACTGTGTCGAGTTGAAAACAAAGACTGGAGTGAAGGAAAAAACAGGGTGTCAGTATCTGGATTTGGTACAGCGGTGTGGTACAGGACGGCCTGTTCCCAGCCCGCATCTGCTGTGCTGCAGCTTTCTGAGTCTGCAAAGTGGAGCCAGGGAGAAAAAAAAAAGGGAGGCACAAGATGCAAGTTTCAGTGGTTGTTATACGCATGATGAGAATGGAGGGGAATTAGGCAAAGCTAACGCACAGACCCTTTATACTTATCATAAACCAACTTTATTACATACAGAGTATTATTTCACCAGTTATTTAAACTATCTACCTCGTGGTTCACAGTAATCAGCCTTCTGTTGTGCCCTGTGCAGGCTTTACACTAGTCCGTAGGCACTGGTAGCGACGGCTGTACGCCATAAATGGCCAAAAAAGGAGGCCATACTACAAAGACCAGCTACAAGAATGTGGAAAAAGTGACGAAAACAGCCTTCACACTGCGTTATAGGAACAAACAACTGAGCTGGCACCCTTTTCTGAAATGTATTTGTGTGGGTGGAATACTGAAAAAATGCAACCCTGCATGGGTGCCACAATCTGCCGAGGCAAGTCAGCCGACCGGCTGGCCTTGTGTGGCTTCGCATATGAGCACCAAGATGACACATCAACTCTTGTCTATATTTAACTCACTGGACGGCTCTCCTTCCAATGTTCCCATCCTTTCAGAAGAGGCTGCCAGGGAGAATGGCGAGAAAAACAGGCTGAGGTGATATGTAATTACACTGAATGGATCCAGCCTCCCACATCCTTTCATTGTACCCACACGCTCTGAGATAATGAAATGGAAGGCAAGCTTTTTTTTCTATTTACCATAAATCCTGAAAGTCTAGCCACTCTTATTTATGGTGTCAAAGAAAACCCTTTACTGCTTGACTCTTGGAGCCTGCAAGTTCACAGAGCATAAACACCAGCAAGCACCCTATGTGGGTGGTGAACTCAATCTGATAAGGGCTTCTAAGAAACCAGCTCTCGCGCTCTTCAGAGGACGGTGCGGTAAACCATCACAAACCGAGGTCTCGTTGAATACCCCACTTTTTACACAGTACATACCATCTTGAAAGCAGAGCTATAACTCAGAATAGAATCACGCTCGGGCTAGAAGGCCACGGAAAGGACGTTCTGTTCGGATATAGAACCGACTCTGTTGCCAATACTACATACCAATTAAAAAGCATCTTTAAATCAAAACTAGCAACATTTTAATTTTATTTTACTTTAGTGAAGCCTAAAGATCATACTCGAGGACACACGTGGACTTCCACATGCTTTTCTACTTTCTACAATTGGTTGGACACATACATAGACACGTTCCACACACGCTCACTAGAAAACATGATGGCGACCACCTGACAGCAACGAGAAAAGCGCCTTTGTTTGTTGTATTTGGCTGAACATCAAGGAAAAAGCAAAGAAAAAAAAAAAAAGAAGAAAATGCTCAGTGTGACAGCTTAATAAGAATAGGCCTAAAGATGTGGAATACAGTGCACGCATTCAGTGTACAAAATGAGCGTCCACTTTACTTTTTCTAGCCCATACACAGCCGGTGCGCTCATAGTACGGACAGCTGGTGTGGTCACAAATTTTGAGCTGCATGGAGACACTCAGATGATGAAATTTGCGTCACATGGACCCACACAGCCACATGGAGGCAAAAACAAGGACTAGTAACCAAACTGTTGCATAACTCAGCCTTTGCACAAAAAGGTGCAAAGAGAGTGACCACGAGACGGGGGGAAAACAGGGCGGTGAAAGGAAAGAAGGGGATGTCTTGAACACAACTGGGCAACCTCTCGTGTTTTGTTTGAAAAACCTGTCGAAGAGGAAGTGCCAAAAACACATTGTGGGGCAAAATGAAAGTAGGGCATGACTAATTCACATGTCAGACTAGGGTGTCTGCAGGATGTGCTCTGTAAAATAAATGTGAATTTTTTTTTTTTTTTAAATGTAACTCACCTATTCTTTTCCAGCTCATTATGTGTCGACCTGCAAAAACAAAAAACACAAGCCATTAGATAAAGAGCAGCTGTACATGTTTGCATACCGAACAAGCAAAAAATACAGACCTAGTGTGCCTTTGCCATAAAAGGCAATGCACTCCACATGGGGAAATTAGGTATAATAATAAGATAAGTATATCAGCAAAACAAACACGGGCTGAGAGGCACTTGGTGAATTGGCGTGTCAGATGTGATTTATGAATTTATTAATTAATCCCAAACAAAACCAATTCTCGGTTCCGGTGCGCTGAAGCCTTTATACCAACAAATGTCAACGTGCCATCCAGGCATGCACTGTGGCATTATACAGCCTCTTCCTCAATAATGCAAAGCATAACTCTGGGAGGATGTGTGTGTGACACTGCAGACGCATTCACACTGTGCATTAGCGTATATGTGTGCGCGCGTGTGTGTGTGTGTGCATGCACTGCTGGGCGAGTATGAGTATGTGCACACACGTACACACAAGCATCCAGGGTTCAGTGCTCTGTTAATAATGTAAAGTGAATCAGCTGGTCCCTAAGAGTGTCTTTGTGTGGCAACATACTGAAGGGAGACAAGCCCTCCTTCTGATGCTTAAATGGCCGTTCCCATGCACACAAACTCCACTCAACCTCGTCTCAGTGGGCACAAGGTTTGAAGTTTCGGGGGGGGGGTGGGTGTTGATGAATGCAACCTGTCCTTGGTCAAACGCTTCTTTATATTGTGGGTTTCCAGTACTACAATATGCATTCCGTGTGTATTTTTTCTTTAACTACTGAGCTCAGCTGACAAAACTGCCATTTAGCTGATACAGATGCAGTGAAATATAAAGAAAACGAGAGATAAGAATAGAACAGAGAGAATGCCAGCTGTCCAAAGCGGTGGTTCGGTCTGTAAAAACTGGCCCTGCCTCAGAGGAAATTATTTTTCCTAAGTTTAATTATTTACACCGATAAAAACCCTATACATCTACATTAGACTGCATTACTGTTCATGTAGTCGGATAAACAAGTCTGGATGTTAAGTCAACCGTGGCAGTATATTTGATTTAACATGACAAGGTCTATAGCCAGGTTCAGTAGCTGCTATCACAGCAAAACACAGAGCTCACATGTAAGTCGGCGAAGGCCATTCCCTGAAAACCTCTGAGCTTAAGTGCTCTCACGCGTGCTCTTGACAGGTTTCAACTTACACATGCAACCCTGTAGTAGTCATGCATGGCTGTGCTCTGCATCAGGCCAACCAGCCACATGTGCTAAAATTACATAAATGATAAATCGAAACAATCTCTTCTGTTGATCACAAAAAAAATCCAAATTAGTCCTCTGATGGGAAAATAAACAGTCAGTCTTGTGTTTATTGCTGACTTTTTGTACGTATATAATGATTCTTGCTGGCAGTAAGTGTAGTTCTGCGAACAGAAGATGAATTTGACAGCTAACAACGCCAAAGTTGCTGCACTGCATCTGTGTTGCTTGGTAACCCACGTCCCATTTTGTAACCCTTTTAAAACTCTGGCTGTTTTACCAAAATGCAATCCCTTATTGTGTTTTAGAATGTCACTTTTTGGGGCTAATCATCGCTCTGAAAAAGTGCATTTTGGGGAACCAGTATAACTGTGGCTGCAGTCACTGCAGGTCAAACAATGTAATAAGTGTTAAATGTTAAATCGTCCAAATTTGAAAAGCTGCTACAATACAGACAGTGGCGAGGAAACTTGAGTGAACCCAAAATTATTCTTTTCAGTTAAGAAATAACTTTAGAAGTTTAGGGCTATGTTGATGCCACTTCATTTACTGTTCTGGAAGTCAGGCAGGCCTTAGGTCAGCCCCGTTACAAGTCCCCACAATCAAAGAACTGCGACACACAGCAGATCTTAGTACGTCCCCTCACTCACAGCAATCAGCCTAAGTCAGCTTACTTTCCCATAGGCTGTTATCACGACAAGCCCCTTTCCCTGCCTCCAGAATCAGATATCTGAGTGTCTGGAGCACAACAACAATGCAATACAGATTATAAACTGGCTCAAGGCCACACACAACAGCAGCGTGCTTCCTTCTGCAGGCCCGCATGCAGACGTGTATCTGTGTGCATGTATATGCACACACAGAGTGGGTCAATGAGATAAAGGAACCTTGCTATAAACGGTAGGCAACAGAGGACAGGCCAGATAAGCCCATCACTTTAAGCCTCAACATGCTACTGAGAAGACTGCTTCAGCCAGAGCAAGCTAGAAGCTGAAAGTAATGTGTTTGAATGAAATGTAACAGTAATAGTAACATAAATATTATGATGAATGTATTATCATAACCTCTAAGAACTCGGCTTAGCAGTAAATTTGAAAGGCCCTCAGAGTGTTTATACGTGAGAATAAGTGTTTGTGTGTGAGGTGTAGATATAGTACAATGCACTCATCTAGACACCTTCACTGGTCAGCCATAAACTGAATCTCTTTTTGTCATTAAAAATGCACACACAGAAGTTGACAGAAGAGTCATCGTTGTGATGCTCAGACCTCTCTGGCTGATACATGATGCCTTTATTTCCATGGACATTGCCATCTGACATTGTGAGGTGATAAAAATTGCTCACAACCTTGACTAATTAGCAAGATTTCTCACCTATGTTGGCAGGCCATGTATGGGACGCAGACATGTGTCCCATCAGTAAGCCTGGCACACTGGCAATACCCAAATAATGCTGTTTTGTTGGTTTGCAAGGTGTGCAGTTCCAGTGGGAATAAAATAAGCCACATCACAATATGATGCTGTGAAACGATGTTAGATCCTAAATGTGTTAACTCGCTGGCTGAGTCGTGAACATGTCTCTGTGGAGAAGACCAACACCAAGCGCTATTCTTGCGCAGTGTAATCTGTCGTGCTTCTCTGTGTTATTAAGCTTTTGAAGAACAGATCTTTTCTCTGCATCTCTCACTGCCATTTTCTGTCCTGAATATGAAATCCTTCCACCACTGACTTTTGAAGTTGTCCTCCTTTAGAAGCTGACTTAGGGACAAACATGCTCTGTGGAAGCTTCTTCGTGATATATTTAATTTTACATTTGTTACAGCTTGGCTCAAAAACTGCAACAAAACAGGGAGACAACAACTGTGTGGTGACTAAAAAAAAAAGATTAATTTTAACCAAAAGCAATCAAGGGTGCATGAACAGCAAATTCTCTCAAGCATCAACAGTTGTCGCCCTCTCATTTATTTCCCCTATTAGGGCCAAATGTTGTGAAGCGTTACGAACAGGGCCTCAGACTTACGATGCCTCTGATCATGACTGTTGCCATGCAGAACTAGGCAGCGTTCTGCGCTCATGATGAGTAATGCGCAGTTCCTGTTTGTGGCCCTCTCTTACATTAATATTAAAAGGCTCTGAGAGAGAGAGAGAGAGACAGAGAGAGAGAGACAGAGAGAGAGAGAGAGTGTGTGTGGGGCTGGTGTTTGATGTATGATTGTCAATGGACAGATTAATGTAAGCAGCCTAGCACCAAGAGAAAACACAATACCAGTGGGTCTTAACTTGGGAGATCCTCCTTGCTTCTACTACCAAAGACAAGTTCCTGTCATCAGTGAAAGCAATAGGCCCGGCAAGAACCTTAATCTTTGTGGCAGCTAATGATGTGATTATCAGACAGTGTTACAACAAGCTGTACGCTAACAGATTACTAAACATATGTTCCACAACACTCATCAATAGCTTCGAAATGATGCGTGCAGAAAGTGCTTCCGCGCCGTTCTTAAGAGAATAAAGAAGTAGAAAATGGGGAAGCAGCAAATTACTGATTACACTAAGCATCATTAGTCCTGAAAGAGGCTCTACATATTCACCTTTAGATGTCTGCAAACAACACAAGCCATAAATAGCAGCGTTTCCTCTTTAGGGCAAAAGACAAACTATCGCTCTCTCCCACAGTGTAGAATATATCTGAGATGGGGATAAAATGTGTATGTCTACCATCAAAACCTAGGGAGATTATTAAATTTAAACCACAGGGAAAATCACGTGTGTGTATTTAATTGTAACTTGAAAAATGGCACACCGTTACGAGGGATGTTTTTCGTTTTGAGGCTGTCACTTTCGCCCCGGTCCCTAACCTCGGCCACTGCAGTCCGTTTGACAATCAGCTGATGAAAAGCCAGCAGAGCCGTTGTGCCCGCTCCCTCCCTCCCTCCCAAGCCAGCAAAACCGGCGGTGTGGACGCTCAAACGTGCACGTTACGGGTTTCAAAAAGCCTCTACGAGTTTGGCACATCTTTAATAAATCAATGGAAACTTCTCCACACAGAAATCAGCCTTCTGCTAAGTGTACACCCTGCTCAGACACTATATATTACTACATCAAGCCCAGAAATTCAAATGTGAAAGACTTAGTGGAGCATCTATCATTAGCAGCAAACATATAGAGAACATAAGCAAGAAAAAAAGGTAAACATTTTCAACGAAAGAGATCGATTTCTTACCTATTGTGATTACTGCTGAACTTCTTATTTCGGAATTTTCTTTGCCTCTGGTAGTTTGTGTTCTGATTTGACGGAAATGTCGAAGCATATCCGTGTTCACATTCTGTTGAAAGAAAGAAGGAAAAAATAGAGCCATCAGGGGTGAGTTCAGACACTTTTTCCTCCTCAACCTTGTGCCACAACTGGGGATGCTGACGAGAAGAAAAATCTTCTCAAGTCAACACCTCCAGCTTTTTACGCATCCCAGCAGCTAAAACACACAAAGCGTTATTGCAATATATATTCACCTCTTTCTCTCCTTTCTAGATATTCCGCTGCTTCCAATAACCGCTGGATATTTATTAGCTGAACAGCCGTCATTCTTTCCTGAGGCTGGCTGCCTTTAACGTTAGCAAAGCTCTCCTCGGCGCTTTAACGTTAGCAGCAGCAACGGCCGCTCGCTTTTAAATGCAGGGAAGACAGTACATCGGTTATTACTACACTGGTTGCTTTTTTTTTTCTTCTTTTTTCTTTTTAAATCGACGTATTGTTATCTTGTTCAGTGTCTTTGCTGGCTCATTAGCAGCCTTTGTCGAGAGGAAAAAAAGGGGGAAAAAATCCAGTGTAAGCTAGCAAGCTGTAGCCAATCCTTGCCAGGTTTCGTTGTTAGAAAATGCCAAAACCAGCGTATCAAAGTATTAAAAGTTTCTAGGAAACACGATATCAAATTATTATATATAGATATATATAGATATATATTTTCTTTTTTACAAAAACGGGTATAAACAATATAAAATATCCCCCGAGGGAGCCCAGAGCCAGCAAAGTGCCTGCTGCTGCTCGTTTCCTCTCCTCTCCTGTTTGTTTACCTAGCTGCTCAGCTGGGAGGCGGGGACCGAGCTGGGAAGAGGCCGGGCCAGACGTGATGCATTCTGGGTAACAGAGTACCACCGAGTTTCACAATTTACACTGTTGTAGCTGTAATATATTAAGTAGAAAACCCTCCTTCTACTTTATGCAACAAATGTAATTATAGCAGGCCAGTTTGATTGATAAAAACCTACACATTTCTGACACAGTGTTATGTTTACATATAACAGACATATATTCTCAGTCCTCTTTTTTTTTCATTTTTCCTTTAGTTGTAGTGCAAAATAACTGACATCATGTAATTGATGGCTCTGCACTTCTGGGAATCATTGCATTTACGCTTTTGATAGTGTGTTCCTATTTCAAACTTGCCATTTTGTTGGGGGATTCACACCATTCTGTGTTTTAACAGTTTCAATTGAAATTAGTTATAGATAATGTGGTGATTGTTGATCCTCAGGAAGTTTAATTAGGTCATTGCTGCTTCTGATTACGTTTTATTTTCTTTTTTTAAGTTGAAATAAATATAATACTGAAATATTCATGACTACTGTATGAGAGCTGTTTGTGTTTTTTGTTTTTGTTTTTTGGTTTGCAATAACAAAAAAAATCGATTAATGCTGTTAGTTTATGTGTTATGCAATAAACAAAAATTCTTGTGTTCTTGAAAAGTTTCATGAGATCATTGCTGCTTCTGATAACAATGATATAAAAAGTTAAAATAACTTTAAAGATACTTTCAGATCACTGGCTTCTGAAACTGTATTAGTCACGATTTTTGACTTGCAATAACTAAAAAAATCAATCAATAATTAATCTACTGACGCTTTTTTATGTGTTACTATATAAACAAAAATACCAATAGCTAATCATGTTCTCTTTTGCCAATCTCCGTAAAAGCCTCCAACTCCCGTGGTGCACCGGGTCTGTGGGCCGGTACTTGCTGGCTGAAGCCAGGCCCAGCAACACGTGACGTCGCCACCGAGCTAGCTTCTGATTGGCAGGTGGCTTTGACAGGCGTCGAGGGTTGAGCTCGCAGCTGACCAATCGCAGAGGAGGTTTGCGCCATGTGGAAAGCAGCGCGGCACGCCCACAAATAGCAGGAAGCAAACAATCGAGAGGAGAGCTGTGCTCCGCGATCTGCTGAGAATTCCCACGTTACATTATAATAGACCACATAAGGCGAGTTTTTAAAAAAACAAAAGGACCTTCGCAACACGCGTCGGTCCATATGATCGATCTTTCTGCACGTAAACAGCCCTGCACGAACAGATGCACGCAAAAGAGACGATTAAAAAAAAACAGCCTATTCTGCAGCCTCATTAAATCATGACTTGTTAGAATGAATCGAGGATGTGTTTTTCTTGCATTGCATTTCTTAAATGACCTGCCATTAAATTATATATAGGCCAGAGTCCACTTGCAGTTTCAGGTTATGTCATCTGCAATCAGCCTTCTAACAGATAGTGGCACAATGCCGTACACGTTTCTAAAACATCACCATCAAACAGCTAAATCAGACATTTCTACGTTTTCATGAAAGTCAACACTCATCTGTGTCCGCATCGGTTTTTATCTATAAAGTTGGGTTTTTTTCTCTCTCGATCGAGTCTGCGGGGGCACAATGACATCATCCTAAACTGAGTTGGAGGGCGCTGCAATGTGGTCAGATTTATTATAACGGAACGGTCGCCAAAATTCACACCCACACACCTAATCATTATGTCATATTGCTTTATCTACGCTGCAGGGATTTAAAAAAAAAAAAAGGAAAAAAAAGGCGACCTCGGTTGGAAATTGTGGAGGTGCAAAGCGACAGTGCCCACCGATAATGCAGATAAAAATAGTCCAGGAAAAATAATGAATGCTTGTATTTTCATCCTCCTCCTATAATTGCAAAGCGTAAATCACTCATATTAGTGCCCTGTCATAGGCTGTGCTTACTGCAGGCAGGGGTGCTTAGTTGAATGAACTCAGCCCTTTGTTGTCTGAGACTGTTGACAATGAAGTCTTGTTTTTTTTTCCTTTTTTTTTTTCTTTTTCTCTGAAATTCAGATGCAAATGAAAAAGGATCAAACGCAGCACAAAATAAACTCACTTCCGTCCTTCCTCTCGGCGCTCTCAAGAAATCGAGCAGCCTCCAGCAAAACTTGTACGTTTTTCAGAAAAGTGTTGATCTGCTCCATGTGGGAGTCTTTGGAGTTGAAGACGTCATTGAAAGGGCAACTAGACATCTCGAAATCTTGCTGATCCAAGAGAGACGCGTCGGAATCAAAGAAGAACTCCTCACTCTTCAAACTTCTTCTTTGCCTCTCACTTTTGGCCATTTTTTTCTCTCTCCTCTGAGTTTCGGTGCTTTCTGCTGAGCGCAATAGACAGTGAAGGCAGCTACCAGTGGACGCTGCGCTTGTCAGATGGTTCCTCGTTTCTTTTTTTCCTTTTTTTTTTTTTTATGAATGCAGGCTGTTTAATGTGGAGCAGCGGCCAATGTCAGTGGATGGTGGTGCATGGGAAAACCAGAGCCCGGCCCCTCTCAGGCTGCCGAGTCCGCAGGGTCCTAGTGCCCGCCGACTCAGAGGAAGCTCTACACAGAATATATCACAAAGGAGTGATAATCTCATTTACGTCAAAATTACATTTAATATGATATATTGCTCTACAAATACAAAGTAATAACAATGATATGGAACCATATTGGTACAAATAACAGTCAAAGTTACTGTGATATTATAGATTTTCCCAGTTTTGGGAAATTACAAGTAATAGTAAAATCACTGAAAAATATATTAATTTACATGTTAAACATAAAAATAAATAAAAAAATAAATAAACAATGTTCACATCAAAAACATTTATTTGTAGAAATGGTCATTTGCTTTGATTTTTTCTTTTTTTTTCTTTTTTATTTATTTCTATTTTTATTGCCACGTTTCCAAACATCTCCATACAAATCCACACAAAATAAAACAGAAACCCAATGCCCCAACCCAACCCAAGAACACGCACATACACACCTACATATACACACACACACACACACACACACCATGGAGGAGAGTGATACAATCGGAAAAAAATTGTAAACTACAATACCAAAAAAACAAGAAAAAAAATAAATAATTTGAGTTCCGCATAACAAAGATAAACAAGTATCTGGTAGCATATAGCGTTCATAAACGAAACAAAACAAAACAAGAAAAAAGGAACACATAAATAAAAACATATAAATGCATGACAATCCATCAAAAATTTACAGTCAGACCAAATCCAGGTGTTTCAACAAAGGACCCCAGGATGCTTCCCATTTTTGTTGTCCTTTTACATTATTAAACCGCAGTTTCTCCAGATGGATATCCGAAACGAGTTCATGTAACCAGTCTTTGAGGCATGGTGGGGTTGATTTCTTCCAATCCTTTTTTCTTTTGTTTCGTTTTTTCCCACACTTGACAAAAAAAAAGTATACCATGTTGACGCCACTTAAATTGGCACACTGTCATTATTTTGTAGATATTTGCTATGAAAAAAAAGATTTAAAAAATCGTATATAATTTTTTTAATTGTTATTTGACATATTTTCCCTGTTTTATTAAATTACAAATAATATTTGATACAATTTTTACTCTAGAAAAATCATCAAAATATCGTTATTTCATGGATGTTTGCTGCTATTTGCAACACAAAAAATGTATATGATTGGTAATTTGTTCTTTTACTATGCTTGACATAATGTTACACATTGTACTGTACTTACCAAGTCAAATTCATTGTATGCGAAAACCTACTAGGCAATAAAGCAAATAAATAAATAATGTATTTACATAAAATGTAAAAATATGTAAATGTAAGCATGTTATTCTGGTATTGGGATCCATAATAGTCTTCTTCACATAGTGTTAGGTAGTGAGACAGCAAGAGAAAATGAAAGTAAAATGACATTAAACAACAACAGAGGCAGTGATCTCTGTGATCTCAGAAGGATGAGTGGACAGATTGAAGTGGAAAAACTACAAATTAAATTCAGGAGCGAAGCCACAACTCTCCTAATTGCTGACAGATTGAGCATTTACTGCAAACAGTACCACAGATTTCCTGTTTTCAATTTTTATGAAGCACGCCACTTCCCGAACAATTAACCTTGGCACTGACATTTTACTTAATGTTGTTGTAGTAGCTGCAGGAATAGCTGTGTTAGCAGAGTGTTTGCTTTTTTTTGACATTTTAGGCTTGTAAAGCCACAAACCAAAGATGGCTTTTGTAAAAACTCTGACACATACCAATCAGAGACTTGAAGAAAGGTGACAGTGAGGCGCTGAGTGAACTGTGTGTACTGTAACTCTACTGTCCATCCAGAGATCCTGCTGTATGTTAAAGAAAAAGATAACCGGTAGATAAGTTCTTGGCCTTGATCTCGTGCCATTTCCATCAGACCTTTAGCTGAGCTGTTTTTGCACTGCGGCAGAGTCCGTTTTTGAACCGGAACATGTTGAGGCAGAAGCTTGAATTCAGCCCTGATACCCCCCCTTGCTTCTGCCACTTCAAAGAGCCAGCAGCAGCCCATGATCGTTTGATGTAAAGTTCACAGAAACAGAAACTTTCAAGTCCAACGCACTGGGGAATCTCTGAAGGTCCCTCCTTCCCCTGCTCCCACCGCCCCTCCGCCCTCAGTGAGGGGTCGCTGTAGAGGAAGGAAACCCATTTGAGAGGGGTCCTGTTTGGATTTTTAGAGGTGCCACAGCCAGCACACGACAAAGTGGGCGGATTCTGAAAAGCACTCGGCCACATCCTCTTTAGGAATTTAGCCCAGATTCCCCATTTTAGGTTACTGGGTTCAGTTTTGTAGGCTGCGTTTGCCTCCTGCAGTGCGTCGCTTTAGGGCATCTATTTCCTCAGTACACGGACACTCAATGCAACAGCAGAGATTAAACTATAGCACTGGAAGCTGTTAAGACCTGATCATAATATTTTTCTCCTCAGGACGGGTCACAAGCCATCGAAGGCCAGTCTGGTCAGGGAGGGAGAACAGAGGAATGCAGGAGGTAATCATGTGTCCTAGCAGGCATCTCTGGTCAGAGGGTGAAGATTCAGAAAACACTCTAGCTCAGGGGTATGGATAGTAAAGACACATTGTTTGTAGCTCCCCCTGCACAGACAGGTCAAACCATTCCTCTTCACATTATCATCCTGATTAAAGACCACCCCATGATCTTTTACTTTAAAGGCAACACCCATGTCAAAACAAGTCGCAGCGAACTGGACATCAAGCGGAGATGAAGGGACAGAGGTCAAACATTTCCAAGGAGACAAGCTCATTTTTCCAAGCCTGAGGGGGAAAACCACAACAACCAGCTCATAAGTTAAAGGAGGGAAACCAGGCAAATGGCAAAACCAATGCTAATGTCTCCCAAATGGAAATGAAATGGTGGTCTGCAAAAAGTAGCCCATTAACTGTGATGGCCTCTGGTCATCAGCAACAGTTAGGCTGCAAATAATTTCATTATTGTTTACTCATCTTTTTTGATTAGTTGTTTGGTATATAAAACGTAGAAAAACCCCCACAATACCCATCATGACTTCCCAGAATCCTGAGTTAATGTTCTTCAAACTGTCCTGGAAAATAGAACATTTGAAGTGATAGAGAAAATCAGTTAATCCTCACATTAGAATAGCTGGAACAAGGATTATTGGGCATTTTAAAGTATTCGAGCAGAACAGCTTAGTGATGGCAATGTCAGTCTGCGAGTTGGTTCAGCCCTGTCACAAATATCTTAGCTGTTGAATGGATTGCCATGTTCATACTCGGTGAGCCCTTGACTTTTCATTTGTCACCATGAGGAGGACTTTTTTGTTATTTTTTTTGGAAAATCTGGACACATCTTGCACCATCATCCAGTCAAAATGTACATTTGTCCACAACTTTGGTTTATGACCAAACGCATTGGCTGTACATTGTATTTCTTGCTAACTGTTTTTGTTTTCTACTTCATAATTCTAACTTTTTCATATCTTTATTTCTATTTTTATTTGAACATTTAAGCACTGGATTCTGGAAATATTTATGGAAAACAAAACAACTCAGCTTCACAACTTGAAAATCAAAGTTTTCTCGGAATTTCAGAAAGTTTTGTTTGTCTGAATCGCAAAAATGAAGTTACAAAGTGCTTTACAGCAGTAAAATAAAACAGAGCAGTCAAAAAATCATCAGGATTTAAAGTGCTATCACACTAACATGCTAAATTAAGATGGTGAACATAACACCATTAAAACATTACACCTAATACACATCATCATCTCAGCGTTATGATTATGAGCGTCTATGAATATGGTAACACTTATTAACTGATATGACTTTTTAAAAGTGTGATCTTTTGGCTTTGGTTGTTTAATCATTTCAACTCTTGTAAAATGTATTCTGAATTCAAATGTAGAACAGTATTATAGTGAACAGAAATATCAATGTAGCATGCAAATGGGCTTCTTTTTTGACTTTGAGTAAAGGTTAAAAACCTAATTTCTATTGTTATGGATGAAAAAGAGTTCAATTTAGACAGCTGGACACAAAAGGCTTTTGAGCTGTTGAACTGGTGACTAAATTCCCAACCATTGAGTTAATCCACACCCAAGTCAGGTGTGACTTTAAAGGACAATGATCACATAGTGTGACCAGCTCACAGACTCTCCTTTGACCAGTGACTATAAAAGGTCACCTTAAAACGCAGCTTTATTCAAATGACATGATGCCAAAGATCACAAAAGAAAGACGAAACTGGGCTGTTGGTGTGCTGGATCAGTGAGAGTGTCAGTTAGCGTTGAAACCAGACACACAAATGTCCACAACTCCACCATTTCCACTCTAAGGTATTGTCTCAGACATGACGTTACGACAGACGATCTGCCGCGTGATGTCCATCGACTTCACCGAGCCATACAGAAGGAGCGGGACAACATTCCACAGGCAGCACCAACAACCTCATGAACTCTCTGCGTTGCAGATGTGTGACTCATTGCTGACTTGGGATTTGTGGTCTATGAACCTGCTCTTGATCTGCCCACTATCATGTCCAAATGGTGTGTATTCATTTGGTTCATGACATCCATTCTTCTTTAGAGATACCTTATGTTTAAAAGAACAGAAAGAATTTGATAAAATACTGCATACTGCATTTTTGTTCAGTGTAATATAATGTATGTAAAGGAAATGTGACAATGCTGACAATGCATACACAAAATTTGTCATAAACAGCTATGTTTCCAGTGGATATAAAACACTCTGACGTATTGATCTAATTGCATTTTACCACGGGACACATTTCACAGTTTGCTTTGCTGCAGTCTTTTGCATCATCCCTGAGTCAACATCATCTATTAAGTCTCTGCAGATTGAGGCCATATTAGTAGCTGGCAAAATGAAACTCTCCAATCTTTTGAAGGCAGCAACAGAGGGATTGTAGACACATTGCCACAATAAAAACGCTCAGCCATAATGGGTCTCTCAGAAGCCTTATTGCTTTCCCTGAAAACTCACTGACATTTTCATAAATGTCACCGATTTACATCATTCTCGGAGGACCACTACAGCTCCGGTGTTGATGGGTAATTACACAACGTCCAACCATGTGCACCTCCGCACTTGGGAAGGTAGAGTGGCAGGAAACGGGGAGGAAAAAAAAAGAAAGTGGGATTGAGTAACATAAATAGAAAGAAAACGGTTTAGAGGATTTAAGGAGTAGCAGCTGAGAGAATATTGATGAATCGCCTTACAATAAACATGCGTGGCCCTCCAGAGCGACACTTTTGTCCTCGCAGTGGGGCGCAGAGATTTGAAGAGTGGCCATTCATACCGCTGACCTTTTTACAGCCTTGTGTTCCTGTCTGTTTAGCTTTCCAAAACACCAGAAGCACCCTTTTGCTTGCCATTCAGCAGGCCGGCCTTTTGACCGCAACCTACGCTGTTTCCACAAGATGACTGACTAAAAGCGTGAACTTCAGTCGTATCTGAGGGAATTACGCTTGAAAACAAACACAGCAAAATGGCTGAAATGCCAAATACTGCAAGCAGGTTGGCGTTAAAGAAGTATTAAAAAGCAAGAATGCTGCTTCCGATGACTGAAGGCAGAGCATGTGAGTGTCAGCTGCAGAGGAGCGCTACCCTAAATCAACCTTCTTCCTTTGTTTTGGTCTCTGTCCACTGGTGTGGTTAACAAGGCCTCTGAAAGACATCCTCATTCTTAACCTTTACGTCCTCTCCTCATCAGTCACAATAGATGTTTGTTCTCCATGGGAGGTCAAGCCTACATGCCCTGCCTGCTGCCTTTTTTCCCCCCTCCACAGATCAATTACTGTAATTGTTGGCTTACATGCGAACCTGCCGCGGTGGTTTTCTTTACATTTGCACACACAATTCTGCAAATCCCTGATTGAATTGTCTTAGCCATACAACAAATAGCTACCACTGTGTTTCAGTTAGATCGTGTGTACAAAACTCACTGTGCAAACAGACAGCAAGCTAGCACAGGTGCCTATTTATAATTGCCGTCTGCTTAAAACACCGTCCATCACGCGGAGGGAACAACTTGTTCAAGGAAAATGACTGGGTGAGAGTGACAAAGCAGTTTCTTTTTTCCTTGGGAGCCTCTTCGACTGACCTCATGTTGACACTGCAGGCTATGCTACTGTCAGTGTGCTTATTTTCCCAAAGGGCCACAAGCTGTGTGGTTCTCTGCTTTGTCAGGGCTTTCTAGCCAAGATACTAATCTGTCTTCCATCAAGATTGTAAGTCAGGCTTTTCTTTTGTTTGGCTCGAACTGTGCAGCCACTGGGGAAAAGCTTCCTGGGTATTATCTCCATTCCAGGATATTCTCAGCTTTTCCTTGTGATACAGTATCAAAACAACACATTATACAGCACCACCCCGCCCTGTTCCTCAAATCAGCAATGCTGATGCGGCTACTACTGCACCTTTCAATCTCAATTCTCACTTCCCGTCTCAACGCTCTCCCCCGTGCATATTTTCACCACTTCTCAAAAAGCACCACCTCGGTGTCTTATGGTGAACCAGCGCACCTGAAATAGTCACGGAAACGCACCCAATTTCAGAAATACGGTGACGAAAATGACAGGGTTGGTGAAACAGAAACCTGTTAGACGACAGACCGGTGTCGCCCCTCCCCAGGCAATTGCCCTTTGGCTTCTAGTGACCATTGTTCGCCTCAGTTCCCAGGCACTGACATCTGGTGACAATAGCCGCAGCAGGAAAGAGGAAAGCAAATGCACACATGCACAAATACATACACGCAAACGCACAAAGAAACACCCGTGTACATTTACAGGCATTGGAGAAACAAACAAACTTGGGTGTGCGCAGAGGCTGAAACAAAGGGCTGCTGTAGTGCACACAAGCAGGCACACGTGTACACATTTTTGAAGAGGAGAGAGGAAACAAACAAAATCTCTGCACAGATATGAAGTTGAAGGCAAGAAAAAAAAAAAGAGGGGGGGATGATAATATAAATAAACACTCTCACATTTGCAGACTATTACACACACTCTCCCCAAGGCATGGGAGAGACGTGATAAAGAGAGAGCTGAGAGCGACACACAC